TGACTAATGAAAAAAAATAATCTTTTATACTTCCTTCATCAGAATTAACCATTGTGTTATTATACATTTCATTATCAATTTTATATACAAATCCTTTTCTTTCTTGTGATAATGATGATAATAATTTATTATGTGACATTGTGTAAAAGTATAAAATATAAAATTCGACTTGGTGTTTTAATGAATGTTAATTGTTGGAGATCTTTTTGAGAGTAACGGTTACATTATTTCCTTTTTCTTTGCGGAGAGTGACGTGTAACAAACAATTTTTTCGTATAAATTAAAGAACAACTTCCTTCGTCACCAAACCCCTAGTGATTGATTTATCGTGATTCAACAATAAAAGCATTTTGGCATTCTTTGAAGATTTAAAAGTGATAAAAATAGAAAACGAAATTAAAACTTACAAAAATATGTACTAAAACCTGTCTTATGTGCTATGTAAAGCACCAATATTGATCAACTTATGTTGCTTCAAATTCAGACAGCTCAAAACATTATTAATATTATTGCGTATTACTATTACGTGTATTTAACTTCAAAGTCAAAAATTCGAAAAAACATCAATTTAATACAGCTCATATGTACTGTATGTAAAGACAATTTGATTTATGAAATGTGGTAATAAAAAGAATGGCTTTAATTTGTAAAAGGGAAGAGGCATTTTTATTATGAAAAAAAAAATGCATGGAAAAAATAATAAAGTAAAAATTTCTAATTCAAATTATAACATTTGTAACTTTCCATGATAATTACTGTATTTTTCTTGCATCATTGCAATATATGGCAATGATATGATAATTCTTTATTCATCCCAGGACACACATTTTTACATAATTTGGAACTTTTGATAATCATTATCATTATTGCCGCTTGTATCAAGTGTTTAAGCATCTTACTTACGTCAAGTGGGTTTTAATTACGTCAAGTGGTTTTAATTACGTCAAGTGGTTTTACTTATGTCAAGTGTTTTTACTTACGCCGAAATGTCCTGGTGAGAAACTACCTCTAGTCAATACTTTAGTTACGTCAATGACTAAAGTCAAAAGTTTCATCATGCATCATTAATTAGAAGCAGAAGAATATATTACCATTGACAACTTGCAAATAAATAACGAAATGGCAATAGAGGAAAAAATAATTGCCTCTTTAATCCAGCTGAAGAGGAGGAAATTGTTGAAATACTACACCTAAAGTTTCAGCAAAAAATGATGTAATCAATTGCCTTTGAGATTTTTTTTCAACAAGATGATCTAAAAATAGATTATAAAGAATTCAAGGTTTTTAAATTATTGAAAAAAGGTAACATTATTAAATAATGAAAGACTAATACAACATCTTGTTTTATTTATTATATAACTAATATTAATATTTGCCAATTGTCAGCAGATCCTTATCACGGTGAAATTGTTTTGCACTTAACTATTGTGACAAGGTTTGACTGTATGATTATATAAAGAGTCTATATTAAAAATCATTATATCAAAAGGAATTTATATATAACAAAATGGTATATACTTGTTCATTATATAATACGACTATATAGGTCACCCATGGAAAACTTGCTTTGGAAGCTTTGTACGTCATGCATCTTGACTTGCCTATAACTCTATTTTTTCATAAAGTATATTTTTGAAATAAAGAAAACAAATAAATAAATCTGAAGTAAATAGAATTTATCCAATGAAGTTCCATTATTATTGGTCAGCTGCTAACAGCGACAGGATTTCTTGTGTATGATGTTTTCCTAAGTTCTGGTCTTAGTATTAGATGATAATCATATATGTGAGAACCCGGGTTAATGCAAGATCCAATTGTTCACTTGTTGAAGGTATGTAAGATGTGGTCTGCTTCCGATGGATTATTCTTAATCCAATAATCCCAAAAAAGCTTGCATCAGTTGATATTAAAATATTATTAATAATAAATACCACAATGAATTTCACATGATGGTGAAAATTATAAAATCCTAAACCAAACAACAAACAATGCGAGCAAAACAAACAATCAAATAGATTATTCATCCAATTTTAATCAGATTTGCCTAAATATCTAAAAACAAACAATCAAATGGATTGTTTAGCAAAATTTCTAAATTGATCAAACAATTTGATGTATGTGAGCAAAAAAACTCATTTATTAATAATTGAAAAAACAACAACTGTTTATCTTATATTATACTAATGTTCATATATCACAGGTGCATTATAAGAAACTACTGAAAAAAAGTAATTATGATTCATATGTTTCAAATCCTGATCCTACTACTACATCTTCACCAAACCTATTACTATAACAAGTACAATAAAATGTGCGCTAAAGCTCAGAAATTGAATTCTTCCCTCAGAAAATGAAATTAAATATTCAACAAACATTGTTGAAAAAATTCAAATGTGGAAAGAGATGTGAAGTTAATGGCAATTATCAATTACTACTACATTAGAAGTAATGTTGTTTGATGAAATGTCCCCAAAATTGTAAAACTATTATTATATTAATATTAATAACGTGATACACGATCGGGGTAGATAAATCATCAATTAGAGATTCAACTAAATAGTGTATAATTAAATTACTGTGTAAATAATATTGATTAAGTTACTTTGTAATAATAAACCTTTAATTTTTCCATTTTTATCATGTTGTAGTGATTTCATTAATATTAAGAATAACTTCTGGTCTTTGCTTGATCACAGAGGAAATTAATCGATAATCAATATTCTGATAAAATAAAACTTTGTGATAGAATCATTATTTTTATTAAACGTTAATAAGCTTTTAAAATAAAATAAAAATAAAAACGGGTTTTTTATTTTCTTTGTTTAAAACACTTTGATAAAAGAAACAAGTGTCGTTAGTGCTTTGGTAAAAGGCAACAATTATGGAGCTTTGATAAAAAGCCACATTTATTTGTTTCAGTGGGGCAAGCAATGTTAGGACTAACGTTGGTTAACTAGTGACGATTAGTAATCTGATTGCTTTAATGAGCAAGCAAAAGTTAAGACTAACGTTAGTTAACTAGTGGGTGTTAATAAAGTATTATCCAAAGGTTAATCGGAAGTATTATTGTAATC